CCAGGCTTCTCTGTCCATGGGATTCTCCAGGCAAGAATACTGGAGTGGGTTGCCATGCCTTCCTCCAGGGGATCTTCCTGACCCAGGGGTCGAACCCACATCTCTTAAGTCTCCTGCACTGGCAGATGGGTTCTTTACCACCAGCACCACCTGGAAAGCCCCGAGGCAAGAGTGGCGGGTGTGGGGCAGGAGGCACTGTCATGGCCCACCCCCACCCCACTCTGGTCAGTGTCACCCTCTGGGAGGATTGTGCACTAGGCATTGAGATATCTCAGAGGCAAATAAAGAGTTCATTATTAACCTGGTACATTTGTTCCACGTGGCCCAGTGTTTACTTGCTATCTTATTGACAGATTTGGTAATGGTCAGTTCTGTTAATAAGTTCTGCAGACCTGAGTCCTCCAGTTGTCTTTATATCTATTTAATATTGATACTTCCTGGGTTTGCCAACCCATCCTGTCACAGCGAGAAAACACGGGGCAAATGCTCATTGTGAGAAGACCCTGGGGCAGGGGCCTTGGACCCCAGAGTCAGACTTGGGTTTGATCTCAGTTCTGCATGTCGGCAAATAAATGGTTCTTATTATGTCTACGCTTCCCAGGTGGCACTAGTGGTAAAGAACTCGGCTGCCAATGCAGGAGACATAAGAGACAACGTTTACTCCCTGAGTTGGGAAGATCCCCTGGAGGAGGAGGACATGGTGACCCACTCCAATATTCTTGCCTGAAGAATCCCAAGGGCAGAGAAGTCTGGCGGGCCACAGTCCATGGGGCTGCAGAGGGAGGGATACCACTGGGCAACGAAGCACACGCTTTACTCCACACCCACACTCGCAATTGCCTCTCCTCGGTCCACTTCCTATCTGAGCCTCTTGCTCAGCTGTGGATGCGACTCTGGGAATCTGTTTATTGTGGAGTTCCCATTCCTTCGGAGGCACACACAGAAAGAAATTTTATTCATTCTGACCACTGTTCTGTCCCTTGATAATAGCTCGAGCTGATTGTTTTACTTCCTAAAAATCTCACAGGTAATAAAAGATCCGATTACTTTGGAACGTCACTCTCCCGTCCAAAGCCAAGCTCTTTCTCTCCCCCATCAGAGGAGGAGGTAGGGGGCACCCAGGCGGTCTTGCTCGAGTTCTGAGAACCCGGAGCAGAGTAGGGAGGGGGCGTGGTCCCACCCTGGACCCCCTCGTCCTCCCCGCTCCTGACCAAGCTCCCCTGAGGCAAGGTGGGGTCTTGCTTGGTCTGTTGACCTGGGATGCTACTCCCAACTGGCTTCTCATCGTCGACAAGCGGACGGTGTCCCTGGGTGGGCCTCGAACTTGGCACCTGTGTCCTCCTCGGGCCCCTGCCAGCAGTTCAAGTCTCCCGGCCCCTCGGGGAGAAAGGTCCTGTCACGTGGTGACCACTTTCCTCCAATCCTGTCCTGTGACTCCGTGACCCGGTAACCTCCGGAGCGATGCTGCCTGGAGCCCGGGGAGGCCAGTGCCGAGTGACTGCCATCCCCAGCCCCACCACTTGGTGGCGCACTCTCTGCACACTCCGCGGGGCTCCCCTCTTCCCGGCTACTTTTCAGGCCAGTGCTGCAACCCGGGGTCCCCTGCCACAGTCCCTGTGAGCCACAAGGAACTAGGGTGCGGTCTTCTCCCCTCTAGGCATTCTTGGTCACAGGGCACTTCTCTGATGACAGCTACCCCTGGCAACTTCCGTGCTGTGGGGGAAATAACCACTGCCCTCAGGGTAACGGTGGAGGCCTGGTGGGATTACACAGAACAATGGGCCCAGGGGTCAGAGAACTGTGGCTGGTCCCGGGCTCCTGGTTACAGTTGCCCAAGCTGCACACTGCACAAGTCTGGTGTCACTTCACCTCTCGGTCATCAGAGACGATATCTTATCATAAGTTTCTAGCAGAAGACAGTCAGGTGGCAACATAAAGGTTGACAGCGGGGTTTGTGCCACCACCACCCCCTTGCCAGGCAGAGTCAAGCCCTCTCTTCTCAGAACATCAAGTCCTGCTCACATCAATCTCTGCTCAGAACATCACTGTCTGCCACAAAGATCCTAGAAGCCAGCAACCAAGAGCCCATTATCCACAGACACCCAGCCAGAAGATCCCCACCGGGTCTCTTCCAGCACCTTGGTGACCTCATCTCCTGCCTCAGACTTTCGGGGCCTCAGGCTGCGATTTCTATCAGGGATGGAGGGACCTCCAAGGACCCTCAAACCAGGCCACTGTGCAAAGAGGGAAACAGGAGGGGGAAAGGGGCATCCTGTGAAACTCAGAGTCAGATTCAGTTTCTGTCTTTTTTTTTTTTTTTGGCTTTTATTGTTCCGTTGCTCAGTTATGTCCGATTCCTTGTGACCCCATGGACAGCAGCATGCCAGGCTTCCCTGTCCATCACCAACACCCAGAGCTTGCTCAAAGCCATGTCCATCGAGTCAGTGATGCCGTCCAACCATCTGGTCCTCTCTCGTCCCCTTCTCCTGCTGCCCTCAGTCTTCCGCAGCATCAGGGTCTTTTCCAGTGAGTCAGCTCTCCTCATCAGGTGGTATTTTTGGCGGCGCTGGGTCTTCGTTGCTGCATGGGGGCTTTCTCTTGTTGCAGCAAGCAGGGTCTGCTCTCTAGTTTGGTGCCTGGGTTTTTCCTTGCGGTGGCTTCTCTTGTTGCGGATCATGGGCTCTAAGCGCGCGGACTCAGCAGCTGTGGTGCCCAGGCTTAGCTGCCCTATGGCATGTGGGATCTCCTGGGCCAGGGATCAGACCCACGTTCCCCGTGTTGGCAGGTGAACTCTTAACCACTGGACTACCAAGGAAGTCCTAGGCTCTGTCTTTTAAGGGGCAAGTCTAGAATTAAAGGAGGTTGCATAAAAAGAAGCAACAATTGGGTATAGTGACTTCCAACATCCAGCAGCATCGTGGAAAACAAAATAATTTGTGAGATGTAATAAGTGACATTAGACATTAATATATAATTCATAGTTATGGTCACTTTAGCAAATGCCTTCTGAACCATAACCCTAATTAATGTGTATCTTTAAGTGAATTACACACACCTTCCTCTTAATTTCCCTGCTAGCAATACTAAAGTACTAGCTTCTGTGGACATAAGCTAGTCGAGCTTACTGTCTACGTGTGGCAAGGGTGCTTATAACTTAAGACAGACAAGGAAAAGTAAACTAAGAATATTCTAAGCTTTTAATTTACATGTGGATTTTGTTACAGACCTGGGGTGCATCCAGATGGTTTTTATTTCCCTTTGATGTATATTTGATGAACAGGATTCTTCAGATTCATAAATGGAAAGGCTTCTTAATATGGAGAGAAGTGTTAGTCAGTGCCACCTGCTGGCAATCTGCGGGTACTGCAGGCCAGCTATATTTCCGAATGAGGGGTGAAATGTTTAGTTGCTAAATCGGATCGGATTCTTTGCCACCCCATGCAATGTTGCCCACCAGGCTCCTCTGTCCATGGGATTCTCCAGGCAAGAATACTGGAGTGAGTTACCATTTCCTTCTCCAGGGGATCTTCCTGACCCAGCGATCGAACCCGCGTCTGCTGCGTTGCTGGTGGATTCTCAGCCCTGAGGGGTGAAAGTTATCAGGAAAAACCCAGGCAGAAGAGAAATTCTTAAGGTCGATGGAAGGATATAAAGGTTGTATAGGACAGACAGTAACCAAACAATGCCACAGTCAAGGTTTCACAGGGATTCTAAGCTCAGACAACTAAAAGAAAATAACCTCATTTTGCTTTTTGGGGGGAGTACATTTTCCAGAAGGAAAATATCAATTATGTATTAAAATAACTGGTATGCCTTATTTTTACCCCATGTGCACCCTAATTTTCAATGTATTCCTTCGGGAGATCACCCTAACCTCAATCAGAGTACAGATCTGCTTTATAATAAAATGGAAAAGGTTCATTTTTCAGAAACGTGTTTCAGTTGGCTGCTGGGCACATCTCTTCCTAAAAGCAGGAAATCCTTAACTGAGCCAACTTCATCGTCCCACTCCTTTTATTCTCAATTATATGAGACTATACCACCTTAGACACTGGTTCTTCTTTATTTTTTTTTCCATACCCAAATGAAGACATGCGGGGGTTAAAACAAACGAAACAACCAGCATAAGGGGATACACCAGGACTTCCCTGGTGACCCAGTTGTCCAGACTACACACTTCCATTGTAGGGAGCGTGGGTTTACCCATTAGTGAACTAAAAGGGGCTTCTCTGGTGGCCCAGCAGTAAAGAATCTGCCTGCCAATGCAGGAGATGTGGGTTTGACCCCTGGGCCAGGCAGATCCCCTGGAGAAGAGAATGGTAACTCACTCCAGGATTCTTGCCTGGAGAAGTCCATGGACAGAAGAACCTGGTGGGCTGCCAGGCTCTGCAATAGAGACCAATAGAGGCTGAGCGACTAAACTACAGTGAACTAAGATCCCACAAGTCTCAGGGCGCAGTCAAAAAAAAAAAAGAGGACACAGCAGAGCATTCAGATTACAAGGCAGTTTATTGAGTTAGTGGCATGCGAGCAAGTTCTTCCCGTGATCGGCAAACGCAGGCATTAGTGCGTTTCAGAGGAGTTCAGAGGAAGGAGAGGCTGGTGGGGTCAGGAGGACCTTGAAGCCAGGGCCTGGTCATCTGGCGACGTGCAGAGCTCTCTAAAGGGGCCTGAAGCTCATCTCAGGGGCAATGGGTGCAGATGCCCCCATACTTGCAAAAGCAATGTTCAGGCCTCACTCCTCCCTGAAAAAGAAGGAGGGGAGGGGAAGGTGAGGGCTGATACTCACTGAGAAGAAGCAATCAACACTTTGATTCTCACCAACCCAGAAAGAACACCCTCCAAAGAAAGAAAACACTTCCTAGTAGCTTCCTGACTTCCTGCCTGGGCTCTGGCTGTAGCTCCAGTGATGCCCAGGCTGGGTCCTCTGCCCCCACTTTTCTGGACCCCCAGGATGCTACTGGCCCCAGACGGACTGCGGCGGGGCAGGGGGCGCACACTCACAGGCTCTTCCGGCGGTACTGCTGGAGCGCTTTCTCCGCCACGTTCTCCATGAAGTGAGGACTGGAGACTTCCTGAGGGACCATCACCGTGATGGGGAAGAAGTTGAAGAGTTTCACGACCACCTTGGTGAGGCCAGACGGGACGCTGGGGTCGGAGTTGTGGGAATTCACCTGGAAGGAGAAAAGAAAGGTCACGAGGGGGCGGGGATGGCAGTCAACACGGACTCGACTGGCAACTAAAGTCAGGCTTCATTCGGATGCACGGACCCCTTTGCTTTTCACTAACCTCCACGTTCTACACAACTCGGGGAACAGAAATGCCCTAACCCAGACACGCTAGTCTGTGGGGGGTAAATGCCTTCCACGAAGGGCCAGTCCGGGGGAGCCCCACCAAGTAAAATATGGTTTTGAGCCGCCTGCTTCCTTTGGGCAGCCACGGGCCAGGTGGTGGTAGAAAAGGCATCAGGGAGAGAAAAAGAAACACTTCCTGGTACTAGAGAGAAGTTTCTTATCACTGGAGGACAATGGGCCAGTTCATGAGGCCTCCTGCGTGGGACAGGGCAACTCTCCAGAAAGAGCTCTCACTCTGCAGCTGGACAGGTGATCGCCCCTCAGGTGGGAGATGTTGGGTAAGCTGTTGAACCTTGCCCTCTCCGCACCCATAAAATGGGATTGCGGCACTCACTGGGCGATGGGGCCTTCGTGCAGCGCTGTGCCTGCGGGTTTGCTTCCTGCAGTAGGACAAGTGCTCCATCAAAAGCAGACATGCCCCTGTGAACATCTCGATCCCGTTTCACCCCCAGGGGAGGACCACACGACCTCCAGACCGCACCATGAGCGCAGCGGCCGTGCGCGACCAGCATGGACTCACCGTGGAGACCTGCAGATAGTACTGGTCGTCGCCCTGCGTGAGGTTGGCCAGCTGGGACACCCAAGTGAACTGCTCGTTCAGCTGCTTGAGCAGGGCCGACGTGTTGAGCATCTTCTGCTGGTAGGACTGGAGCAGCTGGTCGTAGAGCCTGCTGAACTTCTCCGCCAGCTGCAGGGATGTGTTCAGCTGCTGGCGCAGCAGTGTCTGACTCGGGTCGCTGGTCGAACAGTCTGCCCAGAGATGCAAAGAACACAGACAAGATGACAGAAATGTGAAGGGAGAGCTCAACAGGGATGAAGACAAGTGGCAACCAGGTCATGCAGCCGGGACTTGAGGCAGAGCTACTCAGAATGCCACCTTTCCATCAAGCATTCGTGGTCAGCCCAAGGCAAAGCAGAGAGCTGGCCCCGAGTGTGAATCAGCACAGGCTATCCTCATTGAGAAAGTCTTGCTCTTGGAGATGATGTCAGCTGAAGTAAACTACCTTAGTGACATCACTGATTTCTCTTGGGGTGCAAGACCCTGTCTCCCTGGAGACGGGCAAGGAGGGGCATTGCCCCACACCTCAAAAAGCACAGCCTCGGGGCTCCATGTGCTCAGCCCAGGAGACCCTCTCACTACCCTGTCCCCTCAGGAATCATCTCCAGAAATCTGGTGGACGTTATCTGTGGCTGCTATTTGTCCAGTACCGCGATGCCTATGCCCAGGCATTACCGAGCGCTCTGGAGAGCAGTGATGGCTAATAGTCTGTTGCATTCTGATGTCCAGCAATGAAAGTGAGGACCAGAGGGCTAAATCATTTGCCTAAAGTCATAGGATGAATGACTGGGGAGGTCAGGATGGTGAACCCAGAAATTTAACTCCTAAACTCAGGCTCTTGCTCCTCAGTCTGTGGCTCTGGAAAGTTCTCCAAGCTAGCCTGTATCTACAGAGTTGGAAATTGTGGCCCCAAGAACCTAGGTAGCAGAAGAGCCAGCCGGATCCTCGGACCACAAGCACACAGGAATGGAGGGCTGCGGGCCCAGGTCTGCCCACATGCCCACCGTGGCTGGCTGCCAACCTCACCAGAGTAGGGGAGTTCATTGCTTTTGGTCCCCACCCCCACCCCCTGCAGATGGTCAGGTAGACAAGAGCTAGAAACAACACTCTCTCTTTAAACACTCTCTGTTTTTCCTCTCCCTTAATTGTTGAAAAATATCCCCAAAAGAGCACATGAAACTCAAGCAAGGCAGGGAAAAGGAGTTCTTTGCATGCTTCATCATGCTGGTTGTAACCATTTCTATTAAATTAAAATAAAATGGCAGGTGGGGCAAGACATAGGATTATGAACAATTAGCTGGGTTGAGAAATACGCACAGTGACTAACTCTCTGTGCCAGGGAGTCATTGAAAATAAGGACAGTCACTAGGAGCCGGGACACAGCCGAGGGCAGTGGATATGTGGATATGTGACCAGGTCTGAAAACACTTCTGGTTGTCACAACTGGCAGGATTGGGGGGGTGCGGTGGGAGGTGACTGGCATCCAGGGGCTAGAGGCCAGAGATGCTGCTAAACACCTTCCAATGCACAGAGCAGCCCCCGTCACAAACGTGATGTGGCCCAGGGACTTCCCCAGTGGTCCAGGGCTTGCGAATCCGCCTTGCAATGCAGGGTTCACCGGCTTGATCCCTGGTTGGGGAACTAGGATCCCACGTTGCATGCCACAACTAGGACCCAGTGCAGCCATATAAAAATAGTTTTTAAGTAAATATTAAAAAAATGATGAAGCCAATCATTTAAAAAAAAAAAAAAAAAAGAATGATCTGCTCCAAAATGCCAGGAGAATGGAGATTGCAAAAGTCTAGTCTGGAGGTCCCAGGCAGCACGCACATGCTCCAACGGTTGCAAGCACCTTAGATGAGAGGTCATAAGTCTTCCTCAATGTAGAAAAGAAAACCAGTGTTTCAGGAAGCTGCGATCAGTGACGGTTAAGATCAGTACTAGGGGCACCAAAGTGAGCCTGGGCACCTGGAGGTCTCTTCTTCTGGCCCTAAGGTGACTTTCTCACCGTGACGTACTATGTGATTTGTGGTTTTCTAACTATGATCTTTCATGGGCTAAACCCAAGAGGCGGGTTTGTGGGCTCACCTCACTCCTTCATAGGTCAGCCTCATAAAGCACCTGTACTTTCACAGTGGCTTCCAAAATCACAGCACCAAGAGAGGAATATTTAACCAGACTCTGAAGGGCTGCCCAGGCACCCAAAAGAATTAAGTAAGAGCAATGCAAACACCCCCCAGGATCGATTCACTCAGTACAGGGAAATAATTAACTCCTTCCTTCCAAAAATAGGCTTTTGTGAGCCAGGGAGCATGTCACTGCTTTTATAGCTGTTTGCCTCCAAGTAGGAAGAATTTAGTCCCCTTGATAAAACAGGGAGAAACCGCAGAAGGGAGCTATTTCCTTTAACTCAGAGACCAACCAACCACAGGGAAGGTGGCCAGATCGCAAAGGTACCCTGAGGAGAGACCGTATGTTCAGGGCAGAGAACACAGAAGCACTGGTGGGGAACACCTCCCAAACATCCCCCAGGAGGGGCGTCCAGTAACGTTGGGCAGGTCACCAAACCTTCTCTGACTCTGTCTCCTCCTCTAAGAAAAGCAGCCACCCCAGTTATTCTAGGGAGAAGAGTAACTGGTTAAGTGTTTAGAAGAAGGGTGTTTAATAACAAACACATGGCAAGAGTTTGTTTAATAGAGGCCATACTGTCGAAGGGCTTCCTCGACGGCTCAGTGGTAAAGAATCTGCCTGTCCATACAGGAGACTTGAGTTCAATCCCTGGGTTGGGAAGATCCCTTGGAGCAGGAAATAGCAACCCACTCCAGTATTCTTGCCTTGGAAATCCCATGGACAGAGGAGCCTGGCAGGCTATAGTCCATGGGTTGCAAAGAGTCAGGCACGACCGAGTGACAAAACAACAGAACAACAACAATATCCTGTCTAAATTTTCATCATCTGCGGCCAAAAATGAAGATGTATACTAGGTTTGGCCTCTGGGAACAGACTAACTGGAGGAAGTCACAGGATGACAGCTTTTTAGAAAGCACAGCCACCCCTCCCACAGTCAGCCTGTTAACTGTGAGCTGATGTGGTAAGTATTCTGTCTCCTGACCTCAGGGACAACTCTGCATCTTAACCCTCAACCTCAGATGGGGATCCAAGCAGAGCCAAGCAAAGGACAGCCCCCGCCCCCACCAAGAGCCACAGCTGGAAGGTAGCAGAGCTGGCATTAAACTCCCACCCACCTGACCCCCTAAAGGCAACCCCAGCGAGGTGCTGGGGACCTGAAGACCCATGAGACCAGAAGGGTCCCTGACTCACCCACTTCCAGGATCTCCTGGCACTTCTCGCACTGGTCCTTCATCCGCAGGCATCCCGTGGAGTTGTGGCGGATCTCCTTACACACCGTGCGGTCGTTGTTTGCTGGGAACACACACGGACACGTCACACAGTGCAACACAGGCTGCCCCCATCTCTCTGAGCCCTTCCGCACCACTGTCAAGCCCTTTGAGATGACTCTGTGGGCAGAGCAGGTTGGCATCTGGCTGTCTGCCTGCAGACAGACCAGCAGTGGGACTCCCTGCAGTGGGACCAGGAGATGGTTCCCGGGCCCCCCTGAGCTGGGCATGGCCGCCCTCTCACCACCTCCACCTGCTGACCCCTCTCCCACCTCCAGGCCCCCTTTGCTGTGCGTACTTCTCTTTGGAATCATAACCCGTTCTGCTCTGCATTCTGTCTTGGCTCATTTCTCTCCCCCTGGCCAGGCAGCAAGCTCCTTGAAGGCAGGAATAAGATTTACCTTGGAACCTCCTTATAACACAGGGCAACCCCCCCACCTCCACCTTATGGATATGCAGGAAATGCTTGTTCAGGTCAATTTGTTGTTTAGCTGCTAAGTTGTGTCAGACTCTTTTGCGACCCCATGTAGCCTGCCAGGGTCCTTGGTCCATGGGCTTCTCCAGACAAGAATATTGGAATGGGTTGCCATTTCTTTTTCCAAGAAATCTTCCCAACTTAGGGGTCAAACCTACATCTCCTGCATTGGCAGGTGAGTTCTTCAACACTGAGCCACCAGGGAAACCTGTTTAAGTCAGTCCCCTCCTGTACTTCCAATCCATTACAAGCCAAAACCCAGTGCTGGTCCAACTGTAGCATTTAGGCGATGGGGTTGGCCAACCAGTGTCTATTGGCTTAATGAAAGAAATCACTTCTATAAATTTCGGCTTTTCGTGTCCATGTTAGTTTCATTCATTCAAAAGATACTCTCTGTGCTCATTCTTTACGAGACCCTAAAAATAGCTTTCTTAACTGTACAGTAAGCTGATTATATAATTCACTGCCAATATATGCATGGCAGCCACATAAAGCACCTGAGTTCCCAAGACAAAGGGGTCTAGCCCTCAAGAGCAGTGGTCCGCAACCTTTTTGGTTCGAGGGATCAGTTTTGTGGAAGACAATTTTTCCAGGGAGGGGGTGGGTAGGGAATGGTTTCAGGATGATTCAAGAGCATTACATTTACTGTGCACTTTATGTCTATTATTATTACACCAACTCCACCTCAAATCAACAGGCATTAAATCCCAGAGGTTGGGGATCCCTACCCTAGAGGAAATAGTATCATACCCACCAGCTATTGGAAGGAGCCTGGAAAACTCAAAAGAAGACCAGAGTTACAAGTCCTATAGGGCTAGATTTGACCAGCCCAGGGGATCTTCCCAAACCGGGGATCAAATCCATGTCTCCTGCACTGCAGGTGGATTCTTTACTACTGAGCCCACAGGGATGTCTGTGAACCTCTGGGCATGTTCCTACACCCGCTGTCAAACAGGGATGGCAGCCCCCTCCCCAGGTTGCTCTTTCGGGGATTCAGATGATACAGGCCAAGTCCTGGGCACAGATCTGAGCATCTGAGGCTCCCTGCCTCCACATGTCCTTGGCTCCTCAGCCATTCGTACATCTCTTCAGCATCACAGCCTGTTTGACTGGGTCAAGCATCTCAAAGAACTGAGCTTTCATCCCCCTCCTTCTCACCTGTGAATTCCTCCATGGGGAATTGGTAGGGAGACCTGCGCAGGTGGGCGTCCATGGCCTGCTGGGCCTGGTAGATCATGTCGTAGAAGGGCTGAAACACATCGTGGAAGTTGATGGGTTCCAACAAGGGGAAAGGCATCACGTTCCGGGCGAAGCGGGACTTGGGATTGAAGAAGAGCGACCCCCTCGGGAACGAGCTGAAGGGGGAGTAGTAGTGAGTGTCCTGGGGCCTCCGGGGGAAGAACCGGTCCTGGAAGAGCTCGTCCATGATGCTGGACGCCCGGGTGAAGCTGTCCTCCATGACGTCCATCACGTGGCTCTGCTGCCGGTCGTTCTCCATCAGGGAGTCAATGCGGTCACCGTTGATCCAGAAGTAGAAGGGGGAGCTCTGGTTTAGGAACTCCTCGAGCTGTGACAGGAGATGGGGGATAGTCAGGGGTGCCTCCCCCTTGTCAAGACGGGCCAGGCCCATCCCGGCTGCACCTGGGACATCTCAGAGTCACAGCACGGGGCGGAAGGCCCGGCTGGGAATGGCTCCCCGTCTCTGAAATGTCCAGGACAGCCCCCCTTCCATTCTACTGACCCGAGTGGGGAGGAGTAAGAAGACCTGTGGGGCTAAGAAAGGCACATGACCCATCAGGTGAGACCCGTCTTCTGTCCTCTTTGACCCCCCCTCCCCAATCAGCCAAGCGCCAACCAACAGGACTCTGGGGAAGGGCAAAATTCATGAGTCCTAACTGAGCAAGGCCTTTTGCTAAAGAGGACACAGGGCTCTGCCCTACCATGGAGCCATTTGTTAACTTATGCAGCTAAGAATAGCTGGATGAGAGTCTTTTAAGATGGCAAATACCAGGCACAGGTGTTTTTCACATTCCCACATTACTGCACTCATAGCAGACATTACCAATCAATCACACACTCTGGGCCCCAGTGCAGCCAGAACTAATCAATTGCAACTGGCATGTGAAATGAAGGTGTGATACAGTGATTTATCATAAGAAATATATATATGGCCTGGTTCCTGACAAGAAGGTCCTAAAGGTCTTGGAATTTCCTGTGATAAGAGCAGTTAAGGTGTCTTTTGTTATGTTAGGGAGGTGACTTTTGGAAAGCAACTAAGGATGGGGGCTGACTGTCGGGGGGTGAACTATATGATTAAAGGGCTAGTGATTTCAGGCCCAGCCCCTGATTTCTACAGAGGGGAGAGGGGCTGGAGATTGAATCAATGACCAATGGCCAATGATTTAATCAATCATGCTGGTGTAATGCAGCCTCTATTAAATCCAAAAGGATGGGCTTGTAAAGCTTCTGGGTTGATAGACACGTGCACCAAGGAGATGCAAGAGACTGTTGCACTTGGAGAGGACGTGAAGGCCCCCCACCACTCCCCACCCCTAGCTCTGGGCATCTCTTCCGTCTTGCTATTCATGACTCATATCCTTTTATTTTTATTATTTTTTTAATGGGTGACCAATGGGCTGGTCACCCAGTGGTGGCTTTTTTAAAATTTTTTTAAAATTTCACCTATGTGAAATTTACCCCATGGAAAATGGGATCCTAGTTCCCCAACCAGGGTTCAAACTCATGTTCCCTACACTGCAAGGCAGATACTTAACCACTGGACCCCTGGGGAAATCCCCTGAGTTATATTCTTCTATAACAAATTGATTATCTAGTATGTAAAATGTTCTTCCGGGTTCTGTGAGCTTCTTGAGCAAATTCATTGAACTTAAGGGGGCAATTCACCTGTAATGTAGGAGACTCGGGTTCGATGCCTGGGTCAAAGAGATCCCTGGGAGAAGGAAATGGCAACTCACTCCAATATTTTTGCCTGGGAAATCCCATGGACAGAGGAGCCTACAGCCTACAGGCTACAGTTCATGGGGTTGCAAAGAGTTGGACATGATTTAGCGAATCAACAGCAACAAAAAGAAGTAATCATGGAACCCTCTAATCTACAGCCAGTCAGTCAGAGGCAGAGGTAACCACCTGGACTTCTGACTGGCTGTTGAAGTCAGGGGGTGGGCGTGATGGGGCAGTCTTGTGGGACTGAGCCCTGAACTTGTGGGGTCTGACGCTATCTCTGGGTAGATGGGGTCCAACTTGAGTTGAACTGCACGGCACCTGGCTGGTGTGGGAGAACCCTTGGTGGGGAAACCCCCTCACACTTGGAACTCAGTGCAGAATCGAAGAAGCATATTCAGTTCTCCGCACTCCCCGCCCCAAGCCATGCTGTGCTGAAGGAGTGGGGCCCTTGTCACCTGGTGGCCAACCAGTCCCGAGCCACTTCTGCACACACGAGCGTAGAACTTCATGCAGGTCTGTTTCAGGCAGGGCTTACATTCCTCCCAGAGGGCCATCATGGTCTCATTGCACACCCCCTGGGACGCCTTCAGCTTGTTTTCAGAATCCCTGGTATCATTCAGGGCATCCTAGGGGATGACACAGGCTTAGCCACAGAAACCACAGGCTTCCCCTGCCCAAGGTAGACATGGGTGGGCCCTCCCACCTCTGCCCAACCTGGGCACCTGGCGTTCTTGCTTCCATCCCTGCTCTGGCTTGCAAGTACCCACATTTGCCACCTGGATGTCCCTTCTCACCTGGTTTTAAACATCCTCCCTTCTTCATCCTGCTCCTCAGTCCTTTCTGGCCCCTAGAGCTCATCTGGACTTCTTTCTCTGATGCTGCACCTACAGTCTTTACCCCCAAGACATCCCCCCTATCACTAAATACCCCACTTTCTACTCTCAACCTCAGGAATTTCAATGTCATCTTCCACAGCTTCCCTGAATCTTATTTTTCTATGGCAACCACGGCCCCTGACATACCACAATAATAGGTAAGCTTCCAAAATCAAAGTCACATCTACTACCAAAACTCTCTAACATGACCATGACATTTGACCCAGTAAATCTGCAAGAATCTATCCCAAGGATTTCCTGCAATAAAGGAGAAGTTCATATGCCTTAAGATACTTATTACAATATTCATGAATGCAAAAAAAAAAAAATACTGGCATCAACTCAGATGCTCAAAACTAGGGGACCAGTAAAGGAAATTGTGGTACCTACAAATGATAGACAGGATAGCATTACCAAGGATGTTTATAATAAGTGTTAAATATTATAATAAGCATTTCTCACATTAAAAAATTAATGAGTTTGAGTACAGCCACTGTCCAAAAAGCATAGAGGAGAAAAAGTAGTAAGAAATAGATCAAACGCAGGTATCCTTAGATACCTAAGGAATTGTCCTAAGGTAAAAGGATTATGGAAAAACTTTTTCTCCTCTGCTTTTCTATATTAAAATCTTGATAAATGAGTGTATCACTCTTCAAAGAATTAAGTAGACCATCCATACCCCCAAATGAAGCTACACTAGGAGTGTCCGACCAGAAGGAACGATGGGGATCCTCCCCTGCTTCATGTTCCCTGTGCCCCGGTCCACGTCCACTGCCTCTTGCTCCCAAATGGGGAAGGCCGTCGTGCCTCCTCCTAGGCCAGATCACAGGCAATTCCTTTCTTTCCCGTTCCCATATTCCTCAACTGGGAAGTTATGGAGTCTTTGTCCAAAGATGATGTGCTTTATCATAGGTTGTCAACTATCAAATCCCAGTGAGTCACACAAATATTCAAGAAAAAGACTTGCCACCTCTCAGTGGGCTCTAGGAGCCTTCTCATAGCATGGCGGGAGTTTCTACTCACACCAAGAAAGGGCATTAAGTTCCAAAGAAAGAGCTGCACCCAGGCCAACATTTCTGTAAGTGGCTTCCATGAAATGGTGCTACAAGTTATCAGGAAAAAATAAATGGATTCCCTGGTCAATTGGATTTGCAAAGCACCTGGTTGAATGAAGTCACATATGTTTCTTTACTGCAGAACATCTCTGAGTCTTTACAATGATTTCACTCCATGCATTAGGGACCATAAGCCCCATTTCAGCATCTCCGTCATTAGGGTTAGGGTAGCAATAGGAGTAGAATTTGAGGATACCTTCAAGGAGACTATTTATTTTTTAAATAAGCTGGGCTTCCCAGGCGGCACTAGTTGTAAAGAACCCGCCTGCCAATGCAGAAGACATTTAAGAGAAGCGGGTTCGATCCCTGGGTCAGAAAGATTTTCCTGGAGGAGGAAATGGCAACCCACTCCAGTACTCTTGCCTGGAGAATCCCATGAACAGAGCAGCCTGGCGGGCTACAGTACATGGGGTCTCAAAGAGTTGGACACAAATGAAGCAACTTAGCACAGCATAAATAAGCTGTTTATTGAACGACAGTAGTTTAGTTCTGTGTGTTCACCAGTGGACTTGGATGTCTCTTTACAAAGTAGTCCAGAACTCAGAGGTGGGCTATTGCCTGCTGTACCCCAAAGGTATTACTCACACTAGATAAGCTTCCTGAATGTAGGGTGACATCCACCTCCTAACCTGTGACAATGACAGACCCTACCCAAAGCCGACCTTGGAGTTTGCACACATCAGGGTTTGAAAAAATCTATTGAAATGAATCTGGGCAGCAGGCCCTAGGCCAGGCTTGAAACGAAACCAGATCCAAAATCTCACCCCTTGAAGCTTTCAAAAGCAAATAAACCTTCCTTATTTGTTAACCACAGCCCTGGGTATCAGCTGACACAGCCGGGAAGGGAAGACAGAGGGTCACCATGGCAACCTGGCAGGGCTTCCCCATGCCCTCCCTCCAGCACCAAGGATCAAGGTGGGGGCAGCTAGGGTCTTCCTTACCTCTTTCTTCTTCTTGGCTTCCTCTAGGGAGCTGAGCAGTAATTTGCGCTCTTCATTGGTTTGTTCTATTTGGGTCTTTATCTGTTTCACCTCCTTGAGGGCATTTTTAATTTCTTTATTCACGTACTTACTCCCCTCGGTGGACATTTCTGCAGGAAAAGGGCAGGCAGGTGGATGATGTGAGAGGAAGGGATGGTGCTGGGAACACAACCCTGGAACCAGTTTAAAGGGTCAGAAAGGCCAGGGGGTCTAGGCGCTGCCAAGGCTGGGGTCCCCCTGGCAGGGAGCCTTCAGGGTCCCAGCTTCACCCTGACCCAGGTTCCATTCCAGGTTCCATCTCCAGGGTACACTGAAGACCCAGGGCCAAGTCAATTACACCCAGCTGCTCAGAAATGCAAACACTGGAGCAGACACACCCCAGAAGAGGAATAACCCAGTGTGCTCCTGGGGCACTGGAGGAGCAGCCTCACCAGCTGCAGAAGAAAATTTTCAAGGAAAAAAAAAATCCTGGAAGCGTAATTGTTTAAGCATCAAAATGTAAAATAGTATCCTTTTGGATACAATCTCTTCTGGAATGCAGTTTAAGCAAACTTCTGAATTTCACCTTTGTTCTAACGAATGGTATCAGGTGACAGGGACATGGAGGTGAGACTGTGATCAGACACCACATCGTGTGACAAATACAACGAGATAATGTCACCGAAGTACCGAAAGTAACAGCCCATGCTTCTCTGGTGCTTATCCTGGGCCAAGCACCACGCTGGACACTTCACGTGCATTTTATTTAAGACTCTCAACACTGCCTTCACCCAACTGCACAAATGAGGATGAAGAATCACAGTGAGGTCAAGATTCTCACCCAGGGTTATAACAGCTGGGGAGGGCAGAGACAGACTCCCATCCACCTCTGATCTCAACATTAGGGTTTCTAACTACTATGCTGGAGAGTTGGTCAGCTCTCGGGACGAGAGTGAAGCAGAGGGAAGACAGGTGTCAGAAAGGACCTAGCAGAAGTGGGGAAGCAAGAGCTGGGCTTTGAAGGATGACAAGCCCTCCTAATAAATGATATCTCCTCTTTCCTGAATCCAGAGCATTGGTTTTCTGGGTGGCAAGGTGGCAGATACAGGTAGTAAGCTTTATAGAAACTCGAAGGGATAGTCCACATCGGGCCCAGTGGTCCAGGCTGCAAGGAGCGTCATGGGGGAGGTGTGGGCACTGGGCCAAGCGGATTGGGAAGGGAACAGCTGAAGGAGATGCAGCAGTCAGAAAGGTCTTGGGGTCCACCTGAAAGAGCCTGGCTGGCGACAGAGGGTTCAGAGAGGGGCTCGAGCAGAGCAAACCAGATCCGATGCACAGGGCGGAAATGGTCCCTGACCCCTGGGGGCCTGGTCACTTACCCTGGAGCTCTTTGTCCGAGATTGCCCGGCCACTCTCCCAGCTGAGCAGCAGCCCCACCAACAGCAGGAGAGTCTTCATCTTGCCTCCTTCTCCACTTCTGGAATCCCAGCACGCCTCTGTTTGTAGAGAACAGGGGACTGTCATGGCAACAGCTAGACAGCCCGCTGGTCTCCGGCCCAGCCTGCCGCCTGCTCTCCCGGAGCCCTGCTGAGGCCTGGCCCTCCGCTATGCCCTCAGCTCGCATCACCGCCTTTCTATCCCAGGGACTGGACAAGAAAGGATCAGTCTTGCCAATGGACACCTTCAAAAGAAAGTGGGAGGCAGCGGGTACTGGGAAGAACCCCAGGAAAGCAGCCTCATACAGAAGAAACGAGGATCTGGAGTCGGAACCACTGGACTCTGGTCCAAGCTACCCTCCTCCTGCTCCTCCATCCTCCCCTTCCTCCCCCTCTTCCTCCCCCTCCTCCTCCTCTTCTCATCATAGCTGCCTGTGCCTGAAAAAGGCACAGGAACTGTCTGCATCCAGAGGACATCTATCTGACGATACCTGCTCACATCAAACTCAACTCTGAATACACCTCTCTTGGGTCACTCATCTGGCCTATCCCATCCCCCTCAAGTGGGGACTGCAGCCCAGAGCGCAGCCAGCCCCCTGCCATCGACATCACCAGGCCTGCTACAGCAGGCATCACCAATCGATCACAGCACTGTCCCCAACCATGCCTCCTGAAAGTGCTTTTGGAGGCTCTGAGGCTGTTTTGAGGGCCTGAGGCACTGACAGCCTCAGACCCTCTGGGTTGGCACAGGAAAATAAATCCATTTGTCATCCTTAGCGTGAGACTTGAGGCAGGAGGCGTGGATGGGAGTAGAGCAAGGCAAAGACAGTGGTCTCCAGGGAGCGTAGCGAGGGCGGGGCAAAGCCAAAGGACTGATGGGGGAGGGGGGCCCGGGGTGGGGGGACGGAGCCTCCCCAGAAGAAGTCCTGCTGGGAGGCGCGCCTCTCTGCTCTGCCAGGTCCCTTTCACTCAGCTGGTCTCTCTAAACCCACCGCAGCGCGTCTGCCAAGGTCCTCCCACCACACTCGGCTGGCTGCCTGAACCCTGGACCGGCTGGTCTTACACAACGGATCCTTTCCCCAAAGCTGAAGTTGTTGCAAAACAGAAACCCCTCCCCCTGCATCCCTCCCCCCAACTGCTCATCTGAACTCACCCGCTTCCCCTAACAAGAATGAGAAGGGGCTCTCCCCTTCCTGGAACGATGCACAGTCCAAAGCTGCTCTCAGCTCTGCAGGCTGAGACCCTGGGAGAACTTGAATGAGGCAAGTCTCTCCTGAGATGCAATTAGTGAGGCAGCCGGCCTGTGGTCCCTGAGCAGCGTGGGAGAGGAGAGCGGGTCACTGACCTCCCCAGAGATGGTGGGTGGGCAGCTGAGCCAGGGCGCTATTTCAGGTCTGCCAGGCTGCCCCAGCTGCTCACTGAGGCCTGAAACGCTCAAGCAGGGACAGAGGCTTTGTCACGCCAGAGAGACAAAACCAGAGAGAAACACCCCTCCAGCAGAGCACCCCCGTAAGTGAAGGCTTTTGAGAAATCCACACACCAGCCTTTGAAATAGGCTGGAACCAGAAGACAGGGCATTGGGTCCAAAGGAAGAGACGCAGGGAAGTCAAAGGCAAGAGCACTGGATAAGGAGTCCAGAAACCCACAGGTCAGTACAGGATCTCCCATCAAGGGCCTGGACATCATGGGAGCCATGGAGCTGAGAGCTGGGACAGAGACCTGTCTCCCATTCAATCCTCCACCTCAGAGGGGAGGCGGAACCCAGAAACATGATGGGGCTCCCCAAGGCCTACAAGCAGGTGGCAACCCCAGGATGAGAACCCAGCCCTCCCAATCCCCCAGTCCAGTGTTCTTTCCTTGACACCAAGTCACTGAAATCTAAGCCTCAGTTTTTCCATCTGTAAAACGGACCTAATACAGACCTCAGAGATTTGAATTTGTTCTGTAAACACAAGGGTCTTATGTCATCACAGGAAATTCTGACTCCTTCAAAAATAGATGTAGGACCAGTTGTGGGCACTGGCACAATATCTTTCAAGGAAGTGGGAAGAGGTGGCGTGTAGAGACAGGGACAGAGGACCTGAAGCAGGCATACAAGGCCACCTGCGGTCCTTCCCTGCTGTGGACTTTGCCTTAATGAAGCAATCGGCTCCTTAAAAGTACGTGGGAATTAGCCAGGAGTCTTGTTATCACACCAGATTCTGATTCCGAGACTGCTATGCTAAAAACCTTGCAGGTGATACGGATACTAGCCCAAGGACAGTAGGAGAACAGTGGCTGTGCAGCCAAATTACCCTCCCTTTGCACTAACTCCCCTCCCCTCCCAGCTTCGGACCAGGGCACCTGGTTGCCAACTGCTCTGATTAAACAAGCCACTCAAAGGCTCTCCTTTCCCCAGAAGCCATGGGGAGGACACGGTCAGGCAGAGTAAGCTGCAGGCAGAGTAAGCTGCACGGTTCAAAGCCCAAGTTCCTCTCCTACTCCCTCCCCAAATAAGTAAACTCAACCTAAACGAAAAACAAAACAATTCACCTATAATTCACACCCTCCAGAGGTAAACATTAGCACTGTGGTATCTTTCCTCTTTTCTATGTATTTGCATACAATTGGGTCCTTTACATCCACTATCTTCAAATACACTCTAAAAGCATACTTTCATGGCTGTGTAATAGTCCTTTTTCTGGTATACCTTATTTTGCCATCCCACATGGCTGAGCATTTAAATGGTCTTTAATTTCTGACTTATTGTAACAAACACTCTCAAGAGCATCCTTTTATAGAATTTGTACTTACTCTTAAATTCTTAACCTCAGTCTTAAATAGTCATAATCGGCTTCTTTTCTTTCAGTAAGTCCAGAAATTCTGGAAGGTCAAGACTTGGGTTCTAATCCCAATTCTGATACCTATTTTCTGTTTATCTTTGGAGATTTTTCTTTCTGTTTATCCTTTCAGATTTTCACCTATAAAATGTGACGACAGTTTTGAATCAGATGTCTGAAATCTGATGGAGGTTGTGTGACATTGCTCTGATGTACTCTAGTGCATTAGGAAACAGAAAGAGTTTTCCAGGTGGCTCAGTGGTGAAGAATATGCCTGCCAATGCAGGAGACTCCAGAGATGCTGGTTCCATCCCTGAGTTGGGAAGACCCCCTGAAGGAGGAAATGGCAACCCACTCCAGTATTCTTGCCTGGAGAATTCTATGGACAGAGGAGCCTGGCAGCTACAGTCCATGGGGTAGCAGAGTCGGACACGACAGAGCGACTAAGCACGCACACAACATATACTTAAATCAAAACATCAAACTTATCAACATACTAGCCAGGGAACTAGAGAATTCGGCAGCAAACAAGATGAGTCACGCGCTCGAGCTGACTGCCACCCCCTGGAGATAGCAGCGCCTTTCCAAGGAAAATACTGCAGGAAGGCTCTCAGCGCGGGCCAGCTCTGCCACTCACTAGCCTGGCCTCCAGCGTCTGCGGCAGTCCTCCAAATGTCAATTTCCCCATCTTTACAAAAGGATGTTCACTACACCTATCCTGTTTACCCCACAGAACTGTGATTGGAGTTCATGAACAAAAGGGCTCCCGAGTCCTTGCCTGTGCACAGACCCCAGCAACTTTCGGACCCCGCCAGGCTCGCAGGCGATGGGGCTCGGGTCACCTGCCTTCCCTGATCTCCCGACTCCACCCAAAGCGCCCCCTCTGACAGCCCTATAACTACCAGCGATCATCCTCTCCTAGCCTGGCGGCGGCGGCCAACCCCCCACCCCCGCTCATCACGCCGGCGGCGGGGCTCTGCGCAGGGGATTGGAAGGGTGGGACGTCTCACCGGTCACCGCTGCCCCGCGCTCCTCCTGGCCACGCCGCGCGCACAGCACCGTGAGGCGTCCGTATTTATAGCCCTCCGCTGCGTCTACACCCACTTTGGGGCTGGCTGCAAACCTGCATGACTCACGCCCAAAGAATGCCGTAGAAAGCACCGGGAGCTTTCTGGAAGCCGGCGCGGGAGGGGGTGCGGAGATGCGGGGGGCGGGCAGTTGGGGGCGGGTGTCCGGTGCAGCACTCGGCGGGGGGCGCAGGGGGGCGCTTCGGCACCGCGAAAGGCTCCGGCGTCGCGAAAGGCTCCGGCGTAGACAGACGCTGGGGTGCGGGATCGCACCCTTGGGGCTCAGAGCTGGGGCACGGCGCCCCCAGGAGGGAAGAGCCTGAATAACCCGCACGGCGAGCGCCCAGCTCCGCAGAAGTGGAGGGATGCTCCGCGCCCCCGGCTGGTGCCTACTCCCAAATCAAAACTCACAATTCCGCTGCGCGATCGAGCGTTAGTTTTTCGCGGGCGCCACTCCTCCGGCTGCATTTAACAGCATCAGAAATAACGGGGGTGTAATGGTGAGAGATGTTGTGATAGAGAAGGAACGCAGCAAGTATGAAATGACCGCTTCCCAAACCACTACAGTGGCAGACCTGCTAGGCTGCAGGGAACAGAAACAGCTTCTTAGGAATGAACAGAGCATCCGTTTGGGAAATCATAAGGACTCCCTGACTCTCTGATTCCAGGACCTTAACTAAATGTTGTCCCCATCCACTTGAGACCCAGCCAAACCGGGTGGGCTTCATGAACATGGGACCCTGCTGCCCCGTGAACTATTTGATGAGCTACCGTCCAAGTCTTGAAATTCTCAATCGTTTTTGAACAAGGGGCCCTGCGTTTTCCTTGTGCACCGGGCCTCACATATTATGCTGCTGATCCTAGTTGCAAAGGCCCTCACTGATCTCCACCAGCCCCAAGTTCTCTCTGCCAGCAGGAGGAAGCTTGCCGACAGACTCCCTGTGGCAGGGGGCTTTGATGGGGCTGAGGAGTGGGAGCCCTTATGCCATCCCCTGGCAGGGAGGGGGACCAACCCAGAAGCCCCACAGGAATAGCGATGAATACTTCCTGGGGAAGAAACAGTCAGGCACTCTGATCCAGGATGTTTGAGCCCTACGAGAAAGATCTAGGGACTTCAGGGTGGTTCTCGCCCTGGCTGGGGGAAGATGGGTGTGCAGGGCAGGTGTGGACAGTTTGATTCACTTGCCAACTGAAAACCGGCAAGAGGACGGAGTCGGAGGAGAGTCGTACGGCAAAGGGCCGAGTTTTCCTGCCCACAGCTTTCAACATACAGCTTCAGACCCAGTCCCTGGTTGCCCAAGGTCGGGACAACTAGGACCCCACCCTTTTCAGGAAGGAGCACAGAGGGAGCTTCTAGGCAAGTGAAAAACAGGGAGAAAGTGTATGTGGGGGCGGAGGGTGGGGGTGGTTGTTGCATAGAATTCTGACGGAGCTCTCAGCTCCATCCTGAGGATCTGGGTGACCTTGGCCAGCCCGAAGATTTTAATCCCCCACGCCCCTTCCCAGCTCCTCAGTTCTCAGTTTCTTCCTTCTGGACAATGAGGAATCTGGAATGTATCATCTCTGAAGTCCCCTTCAACCTCACCAGGAGCAATGCCAAGTGTGAGAAGATCATCAGCCCAGGAGGAAGGGGGAAAAAAAAAAATCCAACCAGAATTTGCAACAGTATTTCTCCCCTGAGGCTTCACTTTATCTTCCTGAAAAAGTCTAATTATCAGTAACAGCTACATTTTCTATGGAAACTGCCACCTCTTTAGCATCTTATCAATGCTCCCAGGCCAGATGGATTCTCTTTGAGCTCGCTCCTTGTAACTTTTCCGTTCTGTGACTCCCCAGCATCGGGTACAGTAGACACAAATCTGTAATAATTATATTTCTTAAAAAAATCAGACTTTGGAGGACAAGACAAGGGGATCTGCCTTAGTCGGCTGAAGCAGGGGACGGGAGGAGAAGAAGGGATTGGGAGAAAATAACATGATTCACAGCCTCAACTGTGGTCCTCTGGGAGCAATTACTTGATGACTCCAGCTGGCCACTAATCCCGCAAGGCTCAGAAGATGAAACTTAAAGGGGAAAAGTGCACCATAAATGTATAAACTAGATTTTAAATAGTCTAAATACATCATGGAGACCAATTGGTACAGCCCTCACCCCATAGTTGATTCTAACTTTTATTGGCACATAGCCGATTTACAATGTGTCAGTTTCAGGTGTACATACAGCAAAGTGAATCAGCTATACATATTCATGTATCCACTCTTTTACATTCTTTACCCATATAGGTCATTACAGACTAGTGAATAGAGTTCCTTGTGCTATACAGTCGGTCCTTATTAGTTACCTAGTTTGTATATGGTACTGTGTATACATCAATCCCAATCTCCCAGTTTTGATCCCTCCCCTCCCCTTACCTCTTGGCAACAA